GAGACCACGCACGAGAAGATCCAGGCTGCCGAGTACGGGCTGGTGGTCCTGGAGGAGAAGCTGACTCTCAAGCAGCAGTATGACGAGCTGGAGGCCGAGTGCGACGGCCTCAAGCAGGAGCTGGAGCAGCTGCGAGAGGTGAGCTGGGCGCCGGCCCCCGCCCCTCCCCCGCCCCCTCGTCGTTTATAAAGCAGCCCGCAAGGATGCCATTGAAAGCATCGCTTCTGCATCTTAGAGCCCTTTGTTGATGAGAGGAGATTGAAACGGTCCATTGTTTTCCCCACCGGAGAAAAACAGCCGGGGAAATGAATGTCTAAGCTGGAATCTGGGAGGCAGTGGCTGTGGGGAGGGAGGGAGACGCGCGGGAGTCGTCGGGTCTCAGCGCTGCAGGGCTGCGTTCAGCGCGGTGGGAATGTGTCAAGGAAACTTAACACGCCGCCCCGCTGCCAGCCCGGGGTCGGCGACGAGCGCATAACCCACAAAGGCGCTGAGCAGGCGCGTGCGGAGGACCCGCAATTCCAGGATGGGGGGTCTAGGGAACCTCAGCCTCCGCTGAATGTGGGCGCTCCTTGATGGGAGAGGGGGCCAGTTAGAGGAACTCCCGCCAGCCCCACTCGACAGCCTGCCTCCCCCTGGGCTTTACGGTACTTATTCCAGTCACCTGGCCCAGGGAGAAAAGCTACTCGGCTGGGTGATCCCGCTGCCGGGATTTCACCTGAGTGAGGCAGGCTGGGCCGCGCGAGTCTTCTAAGGTCACCCTGACCGGGGACAATTTAACTCCCCTGCAAATGGTCTGACCGATGGTATAGATCACATATGTGGGTGGACCTGCCCTGCAGATGAGGCTCTTCTGTTGGAAACGACTGTGTTTTATAAAACTAGACTATGACAAGTGGACGCTTGCCCTCCTTTAGTCTTTTGGTATTTGGCTTCTTTTAAAGACTGGCTAATGTATTGGAAGAAAATAATAAATGTGCTTTGGTTTCATATCAACACTCGTAGGAACACACATACTGTTGAAGGAACTCAGTCTGGTTTATCCCATCCCCCAGGCACTGTGGGTAGCAAGTAACTGGTTATACATTTAAATGTACACACTGCTTTTCTATGTGGCAAGTCTTTATTTTTAGGCGCATATTGGCATTTTAATGGTACTTCTAATTTTGTATATAATATCAAAACTGTTTTTCTTGCAACACACTCAAACAGTTTTTTTTTTGGGGGGGTCATCTTGTTTTGTGATGTTACAGTTTAAACATTTATGACATAGCTAATCAACTTGCCTTCTAATTTAGTACATAATATGGTAAGCATTTATACTTTCAGGTCTGTCTTATTTTTAGTCCGATGCCTAAATGCCAAAAAATACATATATGGTAAAAAATTCTACCTAGAAATCGGATTTTTGTCTGTCAGGCTGTAAATTTCTAGTTCATGTTTCTCTTACCATGTACGTGTCTGTTCTTAACAACAGCTGGACATGCTGGTATTTTCCAGGTTAGATTAGGTCTCAGGCTGATGTGCTTAAACCCAGTCAGACCAAACCTTGTGAAGTCAGGAAGCAGGATGGTGATTGTAATTCTCGGAGATGTTTTGATGTCTGTGCCCACCGTCATTGCTTTGCCAAGACAAGAAGTGCAAACCTGGCAGTGTTAAGCCATCATGTCCTCGATGAAGGAGGTAGACTTTTTAATTAAATGGAGTATAACTGTTACCTGGCCTTCCTGCTCGATTTAAACAACCCTTCCAGGTTTTTTTTTTCTGTGTCATTGTACTGACCATGCATAGTAAACCTTAATGCAGTTGTCTTTTGCCTTCACTAGATAGACCATGAGCTCTTAGGCAAGGAATCTGTCTTAATTTATTTTGCTTCCTAAGTCTTTAACACAAAGCCTAGCATAGGGAGTGTGCAATAAATATTTTATGAAATAATAAATTTATACTGGAAGAAGATACCTTTATCAAGCATTCACTCGTCAATATTGGTTAGTGTCAGAGAAAGACTAAGAAAATTAGGAAGCATAGAAAGTGACTAGTATTAAAAAAACTACCTATATTGCTTTCTTCAGCAAAAATGAGAAAACAATATTTTGTAGGAATAGTATCACACTAGTTTAATACAGAGTAATGCAAATATCAATTATAATTTTTTTCTGTAAAAATTTTGAGGCATTTTATGTTTTATATAGCAGGAGGGTAATAAGAGTTTATCAGGAGGCCCTGGCTGGTGTGGATCAGCTGGTTAGGCGTTGTCCTGTTCGCCAGGGGCTGCTGGTTCAATTCCGGTCAGGGCACGTGAAGGGGTTGTGGTCTCAGTCCCTTGTGGGGAGTGTGCAGGAGGCAGCCGATTGACCGATATTGCGATCTCACATCAGTCTCTCTCTCTTCCTCTCTCTCTAAAAAATCAATTGAAAGTCTTAAAAAAAAAAAGAATTTTTCAGGAGGATTTTTACCAAATGATGCATGTTTACATATGTATTTTGAGTTGTATTTAGCATAAATGTAACTTAATTTTAGGCTCCTAATGACTGGTTTATACAACTATATAAAATATATTTTAAGGTAATAAAATAATCATTATACTTGATTATTTGATAGTGAGACCTGCTATTTTTATCCTTTAACCGTGATGTGCCCTTTAGTTGGGAGTATTATTTAAATGAGCTAAATCGGTTTCAATAATATTTCCTGTTTAAAAGTAAATCCAAAATAATTGCGCAAACTAAGATACTTCCACACAGAAGTCATTTTTGAAATATATGCTTTGTGAGTACTCTGATTTTTTAAAAGGAAGTTTTGTTCATTTTCAGGTATATACAGCAAATGATGTTGTATTATATCTATAAAGCCAAGTATAAAATAAATCTTTGGCTTATTTCTAGACTCTTTCAACAAATACGATTCATTTAAAAATAACTGGACCAGTTTATGGGAATGCCAACAGAAAAACACTGTACTAAGTCCAAGTTGGACATTAGTAATTTGCAGTGTAGCAACCTGGCTCGGCCTTTACAGGTCCTTTTGTTTTTGAGAGTCAGCACCTGGCAGTATTGCTGCCTTCCTTCCCAGGCCATGCGCTGCTATGACAGTAATGCAAGTGAGCGGTGTTGCCTGAAGATGTACAAAATCAAGATGATGAAGTCATTAATGTTTTTCGAGTCGTGTCTTTTCTCAGTCTGGATTGCTTTTTGGCCTAGCTTGGTAACACTTAGGGCTCTGCCCTGTGCCTGCATGACTGCTGTAATTCTGTTCCCAAAAGAACACACTTCAAAGAAAAGTACTAAGGATCTGAAAGAAGGATGGCGTTTGACATCATCGTGTTCTCCTTTTCATTATACTTGGGCAGCTGGACAGAGCAACATGTTCACTAGAATACTTGACCGTGGTTTGATTTCACAAATAATGCTTGCTTTCCCGTGACCTGAGAGGCACCCACGCTCAATGATGCCCTGGCTGATTTTATGTTTGGGATGTGCGTAAATCAACACTGTCTGTCCCAGGCCAAAATAGTATTTGAAGAAGAGTCATGATTCTAAAATAATTTGAAAACTAAAAATATACATGCATTAAAAAACACACCCCCTGTGGAATTTAAATTTAAGCTATTGTTTTTTTAACTTAAAAATATAGCAGAATTTTGAAATGTAGTAAAGTTTAAAAAGATCGCCTAAGAGAGGAATGAGTCAGCATTTCTGGTAGCATTTTACAAAACATTTCCGCGTGACAACTTCAGAAAAGTTTTGCAGCTAGGTTACAGTAGACTATGGACTAAGACTCCTTTTCTTGCGTATTTTCTTAACCCTGATACCAAGGATAGACACCACCTGCTGAAGAAGCACTTTCTGGAGCCAGCTTTGTGTTTTTTCCAGGGCCATAGTGAAATCATTCAAGAAATATTTAACTTACTTGTAGAGATTGTCACATTAGGGACCTGGATGAAAGCCATTTAGTAACCTGGCTTCATCTTTAAGGAATTAATTTTTTTCCCCTTCAGATGCTTAGAAAGATTGTTAGCTTATTCTATGTCTATAAATTCTAATCATGAAATCATATGGGGGTAAAAAAAAAAAAAAAACCCAACAGATTTTCCCCCCTAATCTATGAATAAACATAGAGAAAGTTAACACTTTATTTACCTAAGCTATTATTTTTCTCTTATTGTTTTTAAAGAAGAAATATTTATTTTTACTATCCCATTTATTATCAAGTTAATTAAAACGTCTAAAATATATCATTAATATAAGCTTTGGGAAACTGTAAACAACCTCAACAAACAAACATAATCCCTTTCAGTCACATTTCTTTTTTTTTCACCCAGTTGCTTTACGTTGCCTTATCTCTTCAACTCAACGTTTCATCTCTGGCAGAATTGTTTCTCAGATAGTATTTAGCAAGATTTCATTGCATTTACCATGTTCGCATGAACATGGACAGCAGCCATAGTCTGAAGAGTTTTTCAGAATTTTGTGCTTACAGATATTCTTCCTTGTCATCCTTGTGCCTTAAATACATTCTTCCCTGTCTCTTCAGTACACTTGCACTTTATGGATATTGCATTCTGGGTTGAAAATATGATATTTACGTACATGTTGAAATATACAGTAAAGGACTTTCTCACACGTAAGGTTACACCTATAAATGTGGCCTTGAAGGAGAGGACACAAAGGATGCACAGTCTTACTATTAAATCATTCGTTGTGGTGAAGGAAAGGCATGTGACATCAGGTGGCAGGAGATGAAAGTGGGAACGTGGCAGTGGCCACATTCGGTCTTGGCACTGGGAACCATTAAAAGGAAGTGAAAGGAAACACTTTGTAACTGTTTGGTGCCTTATGTCTTATCTCATTTAACCTTCAAAGTAACTCAGAGGCTTATTGCCCATTTTTACAGATAAGAAAATAAAAAGAATAAAGCATTGAGCCATGTACAAAGCTCCTTGTAGGCACTTTGCATGCCTTGTCTATAGTTGTTATAATACCCTTTTACAAAGTAGATGTTACTTGAATTATACAGAAGAGGCAAGTACGTAGGTCTTAGGTTAAGGATTCTTCTCAAGGCTGCAAAGCTAAGTGGTGAACCCTGGTTTGGGAGGAAGCCCACTTTCTTTCACTGCGGAGGGTGAAACATCTCAGTCACAG